GGTTATCTAGGGGTTATATTGGGATAATGGAAAAGAAAATAGAAGCTACTATAATGGGGTTTTATAGGGTTGTTAAAAGGTAAGGTTTCAAATTCCAAAACATAAGGAGCAAGAGGATTAAGAGGAGATTACACCGGTCGCCCTTAAGGAATATGGAGGGATTATCTTGAAAAAGCGCACAATGCAGAATACGTCTTGGGCCTTTATCAGGGTTAGCTAGGTGCAGCCCTGAGCTCCTTGGGCAGCGAGAGCACCGCTGCCGTCAAACGTTGTAAAGCTACGTGGAAGCCAGCGAACAGAGAGGTTCGATGCTCCGCCAACAGAAGAGGATTCTCAAACAGAACCAGGAACACGCAGAGCGTCTCGGGGTCATCGGTCGGCACGCGCTGCTTAGCAAGCTCATCGCAAATAGAGACCGTGGCTCTACCAAGCGTGTTGATCAGTTCAGCATTTCGCAATTCAAAGACAAGTGTATGATATGCCTTTCGCACTTTCAGGAGGTCCACGCCACTGGATTCGGCCGTCGTGCCCAGCGGTGATGGCCGGCGGAAGGATGCATTGAGGACACTTACTGAGCTGAAGGCCGCTCCTACAGCCTTCCTGGGTTGCCTTTTAAAAAGGTTTCAAATAAGTTCCCATTTATTGTTTAGGGTTTTAAGGTTTTAGGGTTTAGAGTTTAGGTATAGTTAACTACCAATAGGCCTTATTTTAGTAACTTACTTAACAGCAACCCAGCTTCACAAGGGCAGTTTGCTTAACGCCCTCGCTACCCTTCAGATTTCTCAGAGTTCGGAGGAGTTCGTCTGCGTCGATGGCCGTATGCAAGGAGTGGCGAATGGGACCGACGGCTGCTCGTGGGCTCAGAGCCTCCCTGCCAAGGATCCCAATTAGATCCTTTGGGGTTAAAGGGTTTAGGGTTTAGGGTTTAGGTTTAAGGTTTAGGGTTTTGGGAATATAGGAGTTATCTACATGGGATTCTGTACGAGCTATGAGGGGTTTAAGGTTAAGGGTTTCCCGAAATTAGGGGTACCATTTTGGGGGTCGAACTGACATAGTATTTGGGGGGTCTTTCTTGGGGTTCCGATGCTTTGGGACACTGCCATATGTCTACACAACCTTACAAAACCTTGAATGTAACCCCGTATGTTCTCTGCACAGGTAGCCTCTAATATACCCTTAATATACACCCTATAAACCCTATAATCCCAGTCATGTTCCATGTTCTTTTCCAGTTGATTCTCCACTATAAGGGCATAACATCCCTAAACCCTAAACCCTCAACTAATAGTTTCCGTTTTCTTTTCCAGTATACCATGTAGCCTTCCAGGATAGCCCCCAGCCGCAACACTTCCTTGAGTACCTCTCGAAACGATGAGGAAGGTGTGATGCGAAAGTGGGCCGCTACAGATGCTGAGGACCTTCAGGGAGGGGTCCAGTCGTAACTTCTGCGGCAACCTGAGTCACCGTTAGGACTGCACTCCTGTGTAAGGGTTAAGGGTTTAGGACTTCTGCTGATTGGATTCAACTTGCACTATCCCCCGGAGAAAACATGTATTTCTGACTTCTGACATCTATCAACCGTGGTAGTGGATCCTCAATGAAGCTAGATGCTCCAAATACCTAGCCCTTGTCGGTCCTCACAGCGGTTCAAGATTCCCCTACATGGATGTTAAGAGCCAGTGACCTTTCGGACGGCTGTGGGTTGCAGGTGGGCGAAAATCCCTCGGTACAAGAACCTAATTCTAGCCAAGCCAACAAATTAAGGTGAAAACTGCACCAGGGCTGAGCAGTTATCGGAAGCATAGCGGCCCTGGACCCCTCCATGAAAGCACAAAACTTGGTAGTTTCCCAAACGGGGGGACCCCAATGCAGACCCCAAAATCCTATGATCATTATCATGGGGACCCCCCCATAGTGGTACACCTGATTTTGGGAAACCCCCACTTGTCAGCCATCCTAGGAAGCACACAGGCAAAACAGTCCTTCTCTGGGTTTTGGGGACCCTCTTGTCCATAATAAGCTCGCCAACCACTCAGCCTCAAACCATTCACCCTAAACCCTAAGCCATAAACGCTAAACCCTAAACCCCAAACCCTAAGCCCTAAACCCTAAACCCTAAACCCTAAGCCCTAAACCCTAAAACCTAAACCCTAAACCCTAAGCCCAAAACCCTAATGAGCCCAGCAACGGCGACATCTTCTTGTCCTCAACGGACCGCAAGCTGCACCCAAAATAGCTCTACCCACCAAAAAAGCTGGGTTGCTGTTGGGAAACTTAAGTTAAGTCCCCATATTGTATAGGGGTTATATAGGGATATATAGGGCTAAGGGTTAAGGAACTTGAATTAAGTTACCAACATGTTGCCCTGGAGCCTATAGCTAGCACTGCATCCTTAGTCCACAATGCCGAACCCAAAGCCCTAAACCCATGGATCCCAAAACCTTGACTTAATTAAGCCCAGAGTTCTAACCTTGACCTAATCCTAAACCCCTTCATCCAAGCCCTGAAGCCCAGATCCTAGAATCATCCTAGCCCCATATGCTCGCAATAGAGCAGTTCTACCCCCATGAACCACTATATAATCCCTAGCTAATACTGATACACTAAACCCTAAACCCTAAACCCTAAATAGTAGTTTCCATTTTCTTTTCCATTATCCTTATATACTCCCTATATCCCCCTATGTTACTATATTGCCCCTATACCTATAGGGTAAACCCTAACCCCTAAACCACCCATACTCTCACCCTGAACTCCTGGAGGCTCTCGCGCGAGATGCCCAGCTGGCCGCTGGAACCCAGGCCCCAAGCATAGACATTCTCACGCCTGGGCCAAATGAGCTATCGTCTAAACTCCTAGTATCCACCTTAATCACCTATATGATAGTGTTTAGGGTTCAGGGTTTAGGGTCTAAACTCCTAGTATCCCCCTTAATAACCGCTATAATACTCCCTTATATAATCCCCCATACAGCCCCCTTTAAGGAGTTTAGACTATAGCTCATACATCCAGCTACCAAGCGGTCGAGGTTTGAGGTTCCACGGTCCTTGCGCAACGGTGATAGGCATGTACAGGGAGATATAAGGATGCATATGTACATACATACATATTTCCCATTACTGGTACTCGTATATTATATATATATATACGAGTACCAGTAACGGGAAACATAAAAGGTTGGGCTTATAAGTGCTGCAAGAGGTAGCCTTGTCAGGAGATCATACGGCCCCCCTTTAAGATACTAAAAGTGTTGAGAGCCCATCCATGAGAAGTATTGCTGCCCCAGCATTTCCCAAAATGCCTCCGAAATAATCCCTAAACCCTACACCCTAAACTCTAAGCCCTAAACCCGAAACCTTAAACCTCCTAAACCTCCCCAAGAGCAAAAGCAAGTCAGCTCTACAGGTGGTATTGGGGGAGGAGGGGGGCAGTCAAATTACTGTCCCCGTTTTGGGCGCCCTAAATATTAGGGGCCATATTCTAGCAGGAACCCCAAAAAAGCGCGAATTTCGGTAGATCTCCTCTGCATGCTTCCGAGTGCCTACACTAATTGCCTCGTTCGCCATATGAGCTATAGTCTAAACGCCTTAAAAAGGGTCATGTAAGGCATTATGTAGGGGAGTATGAACGGGACACTAGGAGTTTGGACTATAGCTCGTATGTTCTAGACTGTAAACCGCTTGGCATCGGGACGAAAGACTTTGTAAGCCTTCTAAATAAACGTAACATCTTTCTGGAGCTCGGCGGGATTGAGATGCATCTCCGCAGATTATTGGCTCAGAATGATGACTTATTACAATCCTTATAATGGGGACCCCCAAAATGGCAACCCTAATTATGGGAAACCCCCCTTCATCTCGACCCTAGCTGTGAGACACTGGAAGCCGTCAACCCAAACCCGCGGACCCCTAATGCATCTGAACCTTAAGCCTAAGCGCGCTTTGAAGCCACCGAAGCCCTTTATGACCCTGTGTTATCCTATGTGTTCCAATATAACCCCATATTCTACCTACACGTACAAACGTACATATGTATGTACGTGTATACATCTCTCTTTTTCATACACACGCATACATGTGCATATACATATGAGCAGCTACCTAAGTTATTCGTAAACAGCTAAGTAAAAAATCGCTTTGGGGGGTGCCTATCGCTTTACAGGGTTTTTGCACACTGCCGTCATCCATTTCGGGGGTATCGCTTTTGGAGGGCCCTATCGCTTTACTAGGGTTTTGCTCATGTCCTGGAATTTATGTCTGCCTGCTCTTGGCTCCTACACAATTATATTTAAAAAAAAATGTCGCTCATATACATATATATACATACTTATATATATGTACTTATTTGTATATATATATATGTTAATATGTACGTAAGTGCACACACACCCATACTTGTTCATGCCCAGTCGCATGGACTCCTGGTTGAGCACCAGCGCAAAGCTGTGGCTGTGACCACAGGCAAGTTGCAGGCAAGCGCCAATCTCTTTCCTCAGCTGTCAGGGGGTTGTAGGGCTTAAATAGGGTTTAACCATTTGGTGATCAACAGAAGCATTTGGAACCTTGCTTCCCGGACCTGCTCCTTTGACTATTTCGACTACACCTTTGTAAACTTTACAAGTCTTCCTCCTCTTCCTAGTAGGATGTCCATGATTCCTGGCAGAAATTCGAGGCAATTGATGCCACAGCAGAAACATCCTGTGAAGTGACTTGAAGATGCCAACGAAATCCCCCGCGGCAGGGAGACAGCATACTTGCTCATATCGATGCTTCCCGCAGAACAAGAACGTGCTGGCAACGCAAACAAAACTAGCAATATCAACATATCCTATCTGCGTACCCCAATTAGGTCTCAAACTGACATATTAGTGATTCTTCAGGCCTCTACGTTGCGCAATCCCTTTAAAACAAAAACGTGTCCATTCAATGTTCCATCTTCTTTTCCATTTGATTCTCCATAGTGCCTTTTCTCCCCCTTCATAGAGCAGAAGCATATTCCTAGATATTCAGGATCATGGTCCCTTACCCTTATATCCCTATTTAAGGTAGTGCCACAGCGTTTCCCAAGTCCTCCCCAGCTTCAAGGCGTCGATTACCTTCGGATAGGGCTCAGCCTCGGCAATGCCACCAGATCCCAGCTGGCCACTTCCTCTCACCAGGATGCATTAGGGTTTTAAGTCACCCCTAAAGTAGATAGAGTATGGAGTATATGGGGATCTGATTATAATATACCCAAAGCCATATCCTATCTACTTAAGGGGCAATATAGGGTTTAGGGCTGAGGGTGTAGGGCTTCGGGAGTTCTACTGGTGGTGGCGGCGGCGTGGGCAGGGGCGGCGGCGGTGGGGCTGATGGTACTAGTACTAGTACTACTGCAACTACAACTAGTAATAGACCTACATGAGTAAATGGGTACAGTTGTACCCATGCGTTGCGTTTTCGACGTTGCTATCTGCTACATGATGTACTTGCCAATTACGCATGCTCACAAGGAAAAATACATATTGCATGTGTTGTTCAGCTAAGGTGCTTCTGGTAGCACTCTTTTCTCCAAGATCATGTTCTCTGTATCCTGGCCTGTCTTTGAACATGCTTTATCCCAAACATCAGCTGAAAGATGACTACTCGTTCGATTCTTGCTACATGTTCGTGTTCTGACGTCTTCCCTTTTTGCATCCAAATGACCAACGCCCATGGTACGAATGCATTCATTCTGTGCATCCTGCTCCAATGCATCCATTCCCTTGGATCCAGAAGTCGAAGATGATAACATCCATGATACCAGTGCAGCGAGTCATTGTGTTTCTTGTGCGCTAGAAAAATATTGTGAAAAATATTGTGAAGCAGGAATCTCTTTTTTCGGCCAAGCATATATATGATGGGTTCCTGTCCTACCTTCCACTTCACCATGCCCCCAAAACTCCCCCTCAATGAGCCTTAGTCAACCCTAGATAAGGCTGATCAGGGGGGGAGCCGGGGGGGGGGAGTTTAGCTGGGGTGGCTGAAAAACTCAATGATTTGACATTACGAACCCCGAGCCCGACACAATAATTCCACAGTGCATACCCCTTCAACTTGAACATCAACACCAGCACCGCAAGCCCAACGTCTCTGAACCCTTGAAACACTAACTTCTGAGGCCTACTTTAAGCGTTCGCGGCCTCCAGCTCCAAACGCGAAAGCCAAGCCCTTCTCCGAGATGCTGAGACTGTGCCTTGGGTCTTCGTATACAAACTCGTTACGGATGTAGAGGAAACTAGGGATGATTTGAGGTTTGGGTCCAAATTCTAGCATTTAGCGCTTCAGCGTTTAGATCTGGTGATTCCTCAAAACCGGGCTACCCTCAGGCATCTTAGGGACCGACAGAGATAACAAAGTTGGCGTACCGCACGTGGGTTTCACTCTTTGGGTATTGATATGGGGGTGACCCAAAATTAGGGGTACCCTTTCGGGGGTCCCAATAATAGGTATTACAGTATTTGGGGGTCTATATTGGGGTCCCCTTACTTAGGGAAACTACCATATCATGGGGTTGCTTGATCTGTTGACTTCGAGCTCAAGGGAATCTGGGATTTTGGTCTGTAGGCTCATGCAGTGTTTACGGGTACAGTTCCTGTTTAGGGTAATGTTGGGGGCATGTCTAGCCGCAGTGCAACCAAACCCCTGAGGCCCAGACAAAAATGTCAATGCGCTGGGTGGAGGGGGAGGGGGGCAAAGGCAGGCAAAGGTGTACAGCGCAGGTTCTTAAAGTTTTTGTGGCTGAGGCTTAGGGCTTTATGAACTCAGGGCAAACCGCTACTCATTTAGAATGCCGGGGCAGAATCAGCACACAATTCCTTCCCTAGCACGGCCCGAAAATGCCTCGTGGTTTTCACCGCCGTTGTCCCTGTAGAGGCCTGCAGTTCTATAAGTTCTATGGCAGTCTTCATGAAGATCCACACTAGTCCCTAAACCAAACAACCAACCACGCCCCCAGCCCTGAAAGTCTCAGGGGCAATAGTTTTACAGTAATGATTAGAGAAAAAGGCTTCATGCAGCACTAGGTCTAGATCTTGAAGAATAGAAACACACTACCTGGTGATTCGTAGGGAATGGACCCGCGCAGCAGATCTCCCGCATATAAGCCCCTCTCAGTTCCAGGGAGAGAAAGTCTTGCCCAACCGCCGGACGGATTTTTTGGTGGATGAGCCAAATAACGTTATAACACTGCAAAACACCACAAACAGAAGGGAAAGAAAATCTTATTCAAAAATGGATACCAGATCCTACGCCCGCACCCCGCAGCCCTACACCCTGGACGATTGGTCTTGCTCAAATGTGAACCAGACTGCCGGCTCCCTGCCGCCACATCGATGCATCGAGAGACCCGCATGGCTTTCACCTGACCGGGCTGTTGGTTCAGGGGTTTGGGGTTTTAGGGTCTAAGGTTTTGGGCTTGCGGGTTGCCATAACTGGGGGACAACGAACGGACACCAACATACATTTTGGGACCCCCCCAAAACAAAAGCCTAGTTTTGGAGACCCCCACTTCGGGTTTAGTCTTTGGGCTGGATGCTGGGGGCTCCCCATGGAGATTCAAGACATAAGGCTTTCTCAAAGAAGGGATCTATAGGTCCCGTGGGCTCAAGGGCGAAAACAACGCGAAGGGTTTGGGGGTTAGGAAGGCCCACAAGGACCTTCGTGATGTCGAAAATTTTATATACCGAGCACTGGTCCCCCCTGGAGCATCATATAGGGGATCATGCTCAGGACCTAGGACCTCCCAGCTGGGGAAATTCAGCAGGATCATCTGATGATGAAATTGGGTTGCATAAGGATTAAGTAAGGCTCATCGGGAGTGTATACGCTATATGAGGAGGTCTTTGGGTCTTGCAGGGGCTTAGGATTTGTGCATGGTTCAGAGATTGGGGTTGAGGATTAAGGGTTCGAGAAGCTATGAGGGGCATCATGTCATCCCAGCCAAACCAGATTGTCGGTTTCTTGTGTCCCACCTAGGAAACTGCCACCTTTGCCCACGTGTACATGAACAACTCCCAATATCCCAGACCAGACCTCAAAGACCAAGTTCACTCACCCTAAACCTGCCGAAGCCCCAACCCCAAAGCCGGACCTCCCAAGATCCAAGCCCAGCCCCCTCCCCAGCTTCCTGTGCTGTCTCAGAAAAACCCAAGGATCCTCCTGAAAAAAAAATCTAAAAACTGCGATTAAGGATATACGGATATACTGAACACTACTACAGAGTTTATGAAAGTAAAAGCCCCCCCCAGAGAAAGGTACCCGTCCTTCTAAGCCACTTCCCTTGGTATGCCCTCTTAATCCCGGATTTGCCCTCGCGCTGCACAGAATGAACATGTCGCCTGCTCAGGGCGAAACCTCGGGGCATGGTCGAAGCTACATGGTTTATGGCCTGGGGTTCGCAAAAGTAGAGTATGCCTGGACATACGCGCAGAGATTCTAAGGAGAACGCCCGGGCTTCTTTGGGATTAGGCTGCCGTACAATTGCAATCATGATTCTTTCCTAGTAGGTCGAGTGAAGCAGGAATACCCATGCCCTAGACCTCTTGCCCCGAAGAATCCATGTGCCAAATCCCAGGAGCTTTCTGAGCGAACAAACCTAAACCGTGAAGATAACAAGCCCCTGACAGGCACAAATCGTAGACATACTTGAATACTCGAAGATCACAATATAATCCAAGAAGCATCCCAATAATGTCCGATGCCAGCTCCCTCATATCTCTACATAGGAGTGTCTTGCAGTGACCCAAATCATCTGCTCGTGCTCTGCCAAAATAAGCATCAGCAAAACTCTAAAACATTGATCCCTGCACTGAACTCCCTCAATCCGGAAACCGTAGAGGCCCTACCTGTACCTATAAACCCCTCACACATGAACCCCTCAATCCCAAAAATCCTAGCCCCTAAACACGACACCCCAAACCCTTACACGGTCCTCAAACCCTGACATTATTTCTCCTGGCACAATGCTACTCAGAAACATGTTTTTCATAATCCTCTGTGACACTGAAGCTCCTACGTACCACATACAGACATGCATACAGACATGCATACATGCATACATGCATGCATACATGCCTACATGCATACATGCCTACATACCTACATGCCTACAGACATACATACTTACATACATACATTCATTCATTCATTCATACATTCACACATTCATACATTCACACATTCATACATTCATACATTCATTCATTCATACATTCATTCATCCATACATTCATACATTCATACATATCTTACGTACATTTATATATATATATATGTCTGTGTGTGCTTGTATAATATGCCACGATCACCCCTGTTGCGAGAAACCCTAAACCCTAACCCTAAAACCTTAAATCCTAAACCCTAAATCCTGAACCCTAAACCCTAACCCTAAACCCTAAAATCCTAAACCCTAAACCCTAAACCCCTAAACTCAAAAAGCTGATGCCCGGAGCCTTGGCTTCAGATCCCCAAGGCCCAGCTGGCCGTGCTCATTGCATCCCCAGGACCAGAGCAACCCAGTGGCGGTCCTAGGAATGTTAGGGTTTAGGGTTTAGGATTTAGGATTTAGGGCTTAGGGTTTAGAATCTAGGATTTAGGGTTTAGGGTTTAGGATTTGGGAACCTTCCATGGTTCATGGTTTTAGGGTTTAGGATTTCAAGTTTAGGGCTTAGGATTGAGGGATTAGGGTTTACGATTTCGTGTTTGGAATTGGGGTTGAGGGTCTGGGGCCTAGGGTTTAACATTTAGGGGTTTTGGGGTTGATGGTTTAGGAGATATAAATACGGCTTATGGATGAAACGCAGGGTTTCAACAGGTTTAGGGATTAAGGTTTTAGGTGGGACCTTTGGTTTGGGTGATGCGGTGCTGAGGGCGTAGGCTTTAGGTGGAATTTAAGGATCCAAGGTTTAGACAATTTGGGCGTTAGGCCGTGAGTGTTAAGGGGCTATGCGAAGTATGATAATGACCGCGCGGAGTTTATCCGCATGGTGCAGCGGCAGTCCTATGACACGAATTTCAGATTTAGGGCTCAGCACTTTGGGGTTTAGGGCGTGTTGTGTAGGGTTCAGAGTGTGAACGATTGGACCGCAGGCATTACGCCTCACCCTTTCCACTGATCCCGGCACCCTACACTCCCGAACCCTACAGCACAGGCTCCTCGCCAGGGTGTGCGCCCCACCACAGCAGACCCGCACAACCGGTCGGCTTTGCAGCGTCGGCACAGGCTTCGGGGTGGCGGTACTGACGAAGTCCCCTTAGCTTGCCGGTGATAAGTAGGGAACGGTACAGAGAATGGAAGCTACTTTTAGGTTTTGGTTTTGGGGTGGGAAGCAGGGCATGAAACATGGAAGAGAAAATGGAACTTCTGAGTGCATATGGCATCGGAAATTGTATCGTGGCTACGATAGGGGTCCCGGAAATTGTATCGTGGCTACGATAGGGGTCCATTCCTCAAGGCCCACTCATAGCCCGCAAATTAGGATTGGGATTGGGGTTGATGGATTAGGGCTTGGAATTTACAGCCTAGAGGTTCTGGGGCTTAGCGTGTAGGGTTTAGGATTTGCGGCTTAGAGTGTAAACCCTAAACCCTGCATAGTAGTTTCCAATTCATTTTCCATTATCCCTAGCCCATATGCTCATTATGGTAACTTCATTGAAGTTCCTTCATAGTGGGATTTAGAGTGGTGGCCATTAAAGCATGGTTTGGATCAGAACCGTCCTCAAGCGATGCTAGAACCATGTTCTACTGGCAGGCCCGTTACTTGGAATCTTCGGTCTAGTCCTGTCTCCAGAGCAAGCAGCTGACCGGCAAAGATGTGAGAAGGATAGCAGAACCGAAAGCCCAAAACCCAACTCAAAATCCCAAGCAAGCCAGGAACCCGAAACACCAAGTCACCGACTCCCAGCTGGCCGTACTTGTTCTCTCCAAAAGCCAGCACTTTCCCTGAGCGGCACAGCGCGAGGCAATGCGAATCTCCAGCGGAGACGTGCAGGAGCTGCTCCTCCACCCATTCCGGGATCAGGGTTCTAGCTTTCAGGTAGATTCATCAGAAATCTCCTTAGCTCGCCTTCGGACTGTGCAAAAATCCCAAGCACGCAACAGGCTACCAAACACGCCCTAGGCACGTCCAAGGCAGAGGAGAACTTCACCCGCTCCTCATAGGGACGGCAGGGCATGTAAGCTGAAGAGGATTCGCGATTGAGGTTCAAGGCAAGCGCTAAACGCTACGCATTTCTCTAAACCCTTGAAAGGGACTCCATAAATGAATATAAGTGTAAAGATATAAAGGCATTGCCACTACCCTATTCTACCCCTTCACTGCTACCCTACATCTGGCTTCTTCTGAGGTGCTGTACGCAGCGCCTTAGAACCCTCTATCTTAGACCGACCCCAAACAAAGAAGAAAAAAATGAAGCGTCACTATAGCCAGCATCTCTTCATAAGAAAAGTTTTAGCAGCTTAGCATGAAGATCCCCGCCCGTTACAACTGTTGAGTAATTCATAGAACATGTTCAGGCTTTTTTGCTTCAGTAGATCCCCACACCCCTCTCATCGGCTTGTCTCTACCATGCAAACATCCTTCACGCCAACATGCAACTGCTTAGTATACCCATGAAGGACTGATGCACTGCACTGCACCCCCTCCATTATTAAAAAAAAAAAAGTAATGCAAACCCTCAACCCTACGTATGCCTGTAGACCCCTTGATTGATGAGCTCCACCAAAAACGAAATCAAGACCACTGAAAAGCAAGCTAAGCCCATTACCCTATTTACCCCTAAACATGCCTATATAGGCGCCCTTGCGAAGGAAATCTAAGGATCACAATAACAGCCCTCCCCCAAACTGGCAGAACCTGAAGAAGGGTTCTGAGTAGACCTCTGTCCGTTCAAATGCAAAGCTATATAGGGGGGTTTTCTAAAGTTAGGGGTACCATTTTGGGGCCTGCATAATGAATACGGATGAGAGTAGTGTGGGGTCTATGTTAGGCCCGCCTCATTTGAGAAAAATACTATGGCATTTCTCTCAGTTTGGGAGGAACGTTCCCATTACATGAGCTATAGTCTAAACTCCTGGTATCCCCCCTTAATAACCCCTATAGTACTCCCCTTTATTATCCCCTATATAACCCCCTTTAAGGAGTTTAGACTATAGCTCACATGCCCGTGATCTCCTTGTCGTCCCGATCGGCTCCACCCATCCCAAGCTGACCGCGGTCGCCCCGGCCGACCCCCATGAGGCGGCCGTCCAATTTCCTAGGTAGACCCTTGGTAGACCCCATAAACAAGGGGTATACAGGGGTCATATAGGAGTCATATAGGGGTTCTATGGGGTTATGGGTTTAGGGATATCACTCGAATCATGGAGAATGAAATGGTTAAGAAATGGAAAACCCTAAGTCCAGAACCCAAAAGTATCAGACCTAAACCGAAAACCCTGAGGCCAATACCCTGAACCCTCGACCCTCATCCCTAATCCCTGAACCTCAAGTGGCCCTAAGATTGCAGCCCAGCTTCGCAGCGAGAACCGTGAACCCATTGCCTGCGGCCGTGCTTTCCACCGGCATGTGCTCAATGGAATCTATCCTTGCTAGTGAAGAAGGTCTTGTGCTTGATTGTTTAGGTTTGGGGTCTTGGACTATGCTTGCCAGAGAAAAAGGTTTTGGGCTTATTTGGTAGTTTCCCAAAATAAGGGGACTCCAATATAGACCCCCAAATACTATAATCCTTATTATTGGGACCCCGAATAAGGTACCTCTAATTTTGGGAAACTACCATTTGTGGGTTGAGGAGTAGGCTTTGGTCTTTGCAGGGCATTTTTTGCGCTTCCAAGTCAATTTCGGGGAAGGGTCAAGCCTTTATTTACGAACGTCCAGGCTGCCAAATACAAATTCACCGCGAGAAAATCTTGCTGCTCTCCGAAGGTAACTCCCAAAAAACCGAAGACTGCCAGGCAGATGTTTCTGAAATAAGGGCACTTGGGATCCCAGGGGTTGGTTTAGGGTTCAGGGTTTAGGGTTTGGCTGTATGGGGGCTATTCTGAGAAAGTGCCAGGCATCTTGAAAGGCTTCGTTCGCTTCCCAGCACGCCCCAGCTGTCCAGAATCATTATCTCCTCACGGATGACGCGCGACAACAGGGAGGACAAAGGCAGACTGACGTAGCAGGTTGCTGCGATGGTCTCGCACTAAACCCTGCAACCCCACATCTTAAATCTTAAGCTCTGAAACCGCAGAAACTGCAACACTACACCCTGTAAACTTACTGGCTGTCAGCAAGGAATGGAGGAATGGAGGAATGGAAAAGAAATGGACACCACTATTACGCGCTATGTAGGTTTAGGGTTCTGGGATTTGGGGGTTTAAAATCCCCCCCAAAACATTGTAGCTTCAATGTTTTTGTCCCCCCCAAATCGTCGCTTCCATGTTCTTGTTCTTTCCTTCTTTCCCTACAAACAGCCAGTACTCAAACCATCTGATCTCCAGCGGTGTAGACCAGGCCGTCGTGACTTAACCAGATCCTGGGTTGCTGTTCGGGAATTTAGACTAAGTTACTATAAGAAGCAAATCCTATCATTTGGTACCTTAAACTAAAGTTCCTTACCTAAACCCTAAATCCTGAGCCCTTACCTAAAACCTAAACCCTGAATCCTAAACCCTAAACCTTACACCCTAAACACTAAATCCTAAACCCTAACCCTAAGCCCAGGATCGTGTGCTTCAAGGACGCAGAGCAACTTCGAATGCCCACAGCATCGAAGGCTCGCAGCTCGCAAGGCGAAAATACCTGTCATGTGGTTTAGGGTTTAGGGTGTTAGGGGGTTCAGGTTTAAGGTTCAGGGTTCAGGGTTTAGCGTTCAGGGTTCAGGGGTTTATTACAATTGCTTACGTAGGGTTTAGTGGTTTTTTTTCAACGTTCACATTTTTAGATTAAGGAAAATGAGACATGGGAGCCTAAGTGACTGTGATGTTTATCTCTTGAGGGTTGGGGGTTTGAGGTATGGGAATTCCAAGACTCAGCTTCCTTTTGGGCTGGCGGGGGGTGCCAAGCTGTATGATGAATTCTTGCAGGTAAATGGGCCCTCTTTGTGCTTAAAATCGGATGCGGGGCTTCAGGGCGCCGGAACACTCGAACAGCAACCCCCATTTTGAGAAACCCCCAATTCTACACTCGACATGCTCCTTTGACTGCCTTTAGACAAACCCCGTTTTCAGCCCAAAGTCTACACAATATGAGGCCCCTTTTGCGGAGCTCCTAGAGTCCTAGAAAAATGAGCATAAAATTTCTGGTGCATATCACGCGGAACCTCATTTCGAACCCTACTCTTAGTCTCTGCACCCTAGTCTCTGAACCCTGCATATCCTTACAACTCCTGTAAAGTGATCTGGGACGTCTCCCACCTTGTCGTCATCGTCATCTGCCAATCCGCAACCTGGCTGAGTACTTGGTTTGGGGGTAAGGGATTGAAGGGTCAAGGGCCTAGGCTTCGCGGTTTTTGGGTTGCAGGCTTAGGGCGTTTGGTTTACAATGAGAGTTTTTCAGTAGAAGCACTCGCATGAATGCCCTTCTTGGAATGTGCCCCCTGCACGCATTCACCCGCCTAAGCCCAGCTTTCCATCTGTCTATGTGGCATTAAGGATGCTGAAAACTCCTTATGTGACTTGAAGGCCTAATAATGTTGGGTTCGGATTACAAAAG